CACCAGGTCCTGGCTGAGACTGGACTTTTTGCTCAAGGCTATTACTCTAATAAGCTTCAGGTTTACTTACAGGATTTTTGGGGGGGGGGGGGTAGTTAATTGGAGATAAGAGTCTCAGGGACTTTACTCCATGGGCTGGCTTTTTAATTTGATCCTCAGATTTCAGCTTCTGAGGAGGATTACAGGCATGCAGGACACACCATTAAAGAATTCTTTGCTACTTGGTTGAAAACTAGGGTAAGTTCCTTGAGAACACCTTATAAGAAATATTGAGGTTGAAGGCAATTTTCTTCTAGATTCTTTCTTCTTCTTCTTTTTTTTTTTTTAATTTCTTGGGCTGGGCTGGGCTGGACTGGGCTAGGTTAGACTGGTATCTTTTCTGGTCTCTCTTTTTTCTCTCACCATCATTTTAGGAATTGTTTCTTGAGAAACCTTGATTTGGAGCTTGAATTCAGGGTCTAGATGCTCTCTCTAAACTTTTTCTCTCAAGGCTTGACCCATAGTTTGAAGTCTGACTTTTGGTTGTTAACTGGATATAAGAATTTTTGGGACTTTCCTACTTGGCAGGGCTTCATACCACTATCCTAAGACAAGTCTCCTGAAAAGTATTATTAAGATGTGAGCCATTTGCTCCTTACTAGATTCTGATACTCATGGATATTAATTCCTAGAAGCAGGGGTTCCTATCCAGTGCCCTGATGATTGGAAAATTACTCTCTGTTTATTAGAAGAAAATATCATAACATGGAACACATAGTTGACTACAGACTTTCCTTCTTCTTGATTTGCAATAACATTTCTTTTGTTCATAATTTGAAACCTCAAGCTCCTTCAGCCAAGCAAACACTTACCTTCTGTCTCTTTCATATGCCCAGTGTACTAAACATATTTTCCCTCTTCTATTAGTGGGAACAGTGTGGCAGTTACTGTAGCTTCCTTCTCCTCTAGCTACTGTGGAATCTTGGGTTTCTTGTATGCTCTGTCTGCCATGTTTGGGTGCAAAGTCAGGCAAAAGTGGAGAGTGAAATAGAGAAAGTACACATTGGTATATCACAGAAAATCTGTAGGAATAGAAGAGAGATTCGTGTGGAGCCCGCCCCCCCCCCAAATAAGTCAACACAATCTACCCTCTTTTGTATTAAATGATGTATAGTTCAGTATTTTTGTGCAGAAATTTCTATGAATCCTCCCACTTAAGGAAAAAAATTCTTAAAAGACTAAATATTAAAAGCTTCTCTTAGCTGGGGCACCATTAGCTCACGCCTGTAATCCTAGCTATTCAAGAGGCTGAGATCTGAGGATCATGGTTCAAAGCTAGCCCAAGTGGGAAAGTCTGTGAGACTCTTATCTCCAGTTAACCACCAGAAGACTGGAAGTGGTGCTGTGGCTCAAGAGCACTCACCTTGAGCTGAAGAGCTGAGGGACAGTGCCCAGGCCCAGAGTTTAAGCACCAAGATTAAAAAAAAGCTTTTCTTTTGTTCAATGTCAAATATCTCATTTGTACTGTTGATTAGTATCTGTGTAAATTATTGGTTGTTTCAAAGGTTCTTCTTTATCTACTGATTTTCATGTTACTTTTTAGAAATCTAATACTATTAAGACATATTACATTTCTTTTTCCTATATTAAAGCTTGAACTCAAAGTTTGGCTACATCCCTGAGCATTTTCCCTTAAAGATGGTGCTTTATAGTTTTATTTTTATGGTGGTTAATTGTTGATTAGAGGGTCATAGACTTTCTTGCTGGTCTGTTTTTGAACTGTGATCTTCAGATCTTAGCCTCCTGAGTAGCTAGGATTACAGGCAGGAGCCACTGGTGCCAGGCTCCAGTCTATTCTCTTTAGTATTATCATTAAGTAGTTGTACAAAGGTGTTTGTTACCTTCAAGACAAAATGTTACACATACATCTGATGTCTCTCACTTTTATTTCCAGAAAACCAAAAGTGGAGCTGTAGCTAAAGTGGTAGGGTGTTGGCCTCAGCAAAAAGCTCAGAGACAGTGCTCAGGCCAAGTTCAAACCCTAGGACCAGCAGAAAAGAGGAAGGAAGGAAGGAAGGAAGGAAGGAAGGAAGGAAGGAAGGAAGGAAGGAAGGAAGGAAGGAAGGAAGGAAGGAAGGAAGAAAAGAAGGAAGGAAGGAAGGAAGGAAGGAAGGAAAATAAATGAGGGAGGGAGGGAAGGAAGGAAGGAAGGAAGGAGGGAAGGAAGGAAGGAAGGAAGGAAGGAAAAGAGGGAGGAAGGAAGGATTGTATTATTCAGAAATACACACAAACACACACACACACACACACACACACACACACTCTCACTCTGGGGGTGGGTCGGCGCGGGGGATGAGTTGTAGGCTCTATTTGAAACCATCTCTATAAAGCTCTTTTATAGTACTGGAGCTAGGATTTGCAAGGCATCAATTTAGGAAGGAAATAGGATTAAAGTAGAGAAGAGTAAGGACAAACCCTAATCCTGGAGGAAATACCAGAACTTAGTTTCTCAACCTGTCCAACTTTTATAATGTCGAAGATGTCTTGTGAAGGCAAATCTGGTGCCTTTTATCATAACACTCATCACATAACTAGTCCAGAACTTGGAGACTCAGGGAGGATATAGGGTTAGATCTATCGGTACACATCTGCTTTTTACTTGGATCAACAAGATAAACTAGCCAAAAAAATGATAGTGTGCACTATGTAAAAAGACAAAAAAAATAGTTATTGTTTCACTTGTACCTTACTAGACACCATGCAAAATCATTGTTATGGTGCTCACAACTCTTAACTAGAAATGCACTGGAGAGGAACCCTGGAAAACACAGCTCAACCTAACCACAATGACAATTTAAAAAATTATCAAGTATCATTTGCCAACTAGGTACTCATATGCTCCGTTTTAAAACATAATGAGCTACTTGGGTGCCTGTGGCTCATGCCTATAATCTTAGCTACTCAGGAGAGTGATATCTGAAGATTATGGTTCAAAGCCAACCACAGCAGGAAATCAGTAAGACTCTTATCTCCAATTAATCACCAAAAGCTGTTACTCAAGTGATAGAACACTAGCCTTGAGCAAAAGAAGCTCATGAACAGTGCCCAGGCCCTGAGTTCATGCCCTGGGACCAGAACAAAAAATCATATTGAGCCTTTGGATAAAGATGGTAACAAAGTCATATTTCTGCCTCATATGATGCCATTATTCCACAAATATATGCTAACCTTTTTCTCAACAGAATTAAATCTCCTTTCCAATGTTATGTTACTCTTATTCATTTAATTCTTCTTTTAGGCCAATCTCATGTCTCTTTTCATAGTTTGTAACTGAAATAGTAAGATACAAATTAGCTAATGTGAACACATCTTGAGTTGGAGTGTAGAAGAGTGGGAGTAAGGAAGATTTACACATAGGATTGTAAAGCCGAATTCGGAAATCCTTACCCAAAAGACCACCAGGGACTGTCACCAATGTAAAAGCAAAGGAGTCTTTATTGTAAGCTCCAGCTTAGTCCTCCACACACCAGGTAACTGGTGATGCTGAGAGGCCTAAGCCCAGGGTTATAGCACTTTTATACACTTTTTAGGGAAGGCAGGGACTTTGCATACATCATAGCATCTTATAACAAATTATTACACATTGCGGGAAAATCATAAAACAATTCTATAGTTTGATTGGCGCACTACAAAGCAGGAAAGGACCAGAAACAGGTTGTTGGTTAGATCAGAGGTCTGACGTACTTTACACTGGTTGGCTTGCACCACAGGGAGTCTCAAGGAGATACAAGCTAAACTGCAGGGTTCCTTTCTCAAACAAACATCATCTGTGGTCTGACTACAGGGTCACCCTGCCCTCCAGCACCTGCCTGCGGTTTTCTCAAGGATTGTTTACGTTCCTAATCACCGGAGAATTGCTGCTTCTGTTCATTCCAGGTCCGGCTCATAGTCAGATGCATAACTCATACCTCAGAAGATGATCGCTAGCTCAAGATGGAGTCACCCAGGCCTCAGGCTCCTCAGGATCTGTCATTTGAATTTGATGACAGTGGATATTCTGAGAAAGATCTTGGTAGGCAATTTCACGACTCGCTGAATGTCTTAGTGTTACATGTAGAAATCTAGATGGTATAGGTCAGCCACTCCAGCTGGCCTCTTGATTCAGATCAGAGGGAAAAAATAGGAGACATATAAGGCCTCTGCCCATATGTCAGAGCATATTACTTTAGAGTAAACATTTTTATACGAGTATATGCTAAAATAATTATTAAAAAATACTAAATACATAAACCAGCATCAAACTTGTCTATTATATCTAGTATTATGTGTTGTACATAATTACAAGTACTGTTTTTCTTTTTTTATTATAAAAACTTCCTCTTTAATCTTGAAACATAGAACAACTTTCTTGAATAAAATGGAAAGTTTCCAGTACATTGAGAGAAAAATCCACGAGTTACCATACATAAAGTACCGGGTAGGAAAAAATAGCGGGTTTACACAATCCCTGGTACAGCCATGGTCTGATTCTTTTTTTGGGGGGGAGGGGGGGTCCGGTTGTGGGGCCTGAACTCTGGGCCTGGGCGCTGTCCCTCAGCTCTTCAGCTCAAGGCTAAAGCTCTACCACTTGAGCCACAGTGCCACTTCGGGCTTTTTTCTTTCTTTCTTTTTTTTGCTTATGTGGTGCTGAGGAATTGAACCTGGGGCCTCATGCATGTAAGGCAAGCACTCTACCACTGAGCCACCTTCCCAGCCCTTTCTCCCAGCCGCTTTCTCCCTCTACCAAGTGCTCTGCCGACTTCTGAGATGCCACCCAACTGAGCTTGTAGCCCACAAAGCGCTCCTCTGGCAGGGCCATGTTGGTGGCTCACTCAAGAAGCAAAGCAGTTTTCAGCACATTCTAACAGTGAATCAAACATGCTTTAAATATCAATGTGAGAAATAAGAAGGCAGCATAATCATGCTATGAGAAGGATGTTAGAAAGGGCAGCTGTATAAAGCTTGAGATTGAAAATGGTTCTCTAGCTTCGTTTCTTTGGCTTGTTGGGCAGCGGCCTCTGGAACTGCAAGATGTGAGGTTCTGGTTCATGGATCATATAATGACCCCATCCCTGACTCTGCTGGACACCAAGTTTCCTCCATTCAGACTCAGACATCAAATGGGTTTTAGGGACAAGTTTGGCTATGGCCTTGGGTAACGTTACATGCGGGTATTTGAACTCTTCGTGGTTGTATTTATCCGAATAGTAAATTTGTTTACGCAACATGTCTGCTCTGCCAGAAAATTTCCAGCTGTGAGATCGCAACCTCCAAACAACTCCCAGAAGCACACCTATACTATGTTTTTCTATGACTAGCAACACAGTAGCTTTCTTAACATCAACATCACTGCAAACAAAATGCATTGTGTTATGGTATTACAACAGCTACAATGTCACTAGGCAATAGGAATTTTTCAACTTCATTATCATCTTATAAAGCCACTGTCAATGTATTCAGTCCACCCTTGATCAAAACAACAGTATGTGTGTGCAAATTTATATCACATTAATGACCAAAACATTTATAACCAATACAATCATTTCTGCTATTGGTCATGTGGTTGTTCTTGGTATCTGTGTGGCTACTGGTCATGTGGTTGTTGATATCTGTGTATAACTCCCTTTGTCTCTCCCCTTCTCATTTCTCTTTGCTCCCAATTGGCCTTAATTCCTTGCCTAGTAAGTAGCACACAATTAGTGCCACCTGTGGTGGTGGTGTTTTTCTCGACCTTAATCATAGAACACAGGATAACATCATTTTTCCCTGCCCAAGACATGTGCATTCTTGATATAATCTTCATTTACCTCATTGTACAGTCAGAAACACTCAATAGTTAGGGTTAATCACCTCTGCCACTGTTAAAAGTGCTTTCTTTATTTACTGGTCTCAACTTCAAGCTTAATGGAAAAATTGTCATGTTCTTAATGGGAGCATTCCTGCTTTGTGAACTGATAAATCTAAACCAGTAGCTCTCAACTAAGGATGACTCCCCCCTTCCCATCCTGTCCTAAGCAGAGGACATTTAATGATGTGTGAAGACATTTTTTTGTTTCCCGAAACTGAGAAGCAGGTGCTACTGACATCTAGTGGTAGAGGTGGATGCTACTAAACATGCTAAGTGCAATGCACAACAACCTTCAATACAAGAAATTGTCCTGCCCCAAAGGATAGTATCTATCACTGGAAGAGGATAATCTTGCTTTAAATCAGAAGGGTCCAATGTTGAGGAGATAGAAAGTAAAGACTTTTATGGGCATCCTTGGGGATAATATGTAGAGAATTGACTTCCAAGGCTGGGAATGTGGCTTTGTGGTAGAGTGCTTGCCCAGTATGCACGAAACCCTGGGTTCCATTCCTCAGTACCACATACACAGAAAAAGCTGGAAATGGTGCTGTGGCTCAGGTGGTAGAGTGCTAGCCTTGAGCAAAAGAAGCTCAGGGACTGCTCAGGCCCTGAGTTCAAGCCCCAGGACTGGCAAAAATAAAAATAAATAAAAAAGAAAAAAAGAATGACTACCATTGGTACCCTGGATTTCCAGAGCTACAGATCCTAGAAGAAATAGCATCATTTTTAATGACTGTGTATACCCACAAGGTATTGCACCTTGCTAGTGCTATACCTGAGTCTTCAAAAGACATTGCACTACCTTATGCCAGCTGCTTTCTCTTTTTCTTATTACATATGACAGAAAATTTGCCTTCTCTAACCTTTGTTTTGGTCAGTCGTGGGGCTTGAACTCTGGGCACTGTCCCTTAGCTCTTCAGCTCAAGGCTAGTGCACTTGAGCCACAGCGCCACTTGCGGGTTTTTCTGGGGGTTTTTTGGTGCTGGGGAATTGAACGCTGGACCTCATGCATGCAAGGCAAGCACTCTACCACTGATCCACCTTCCAGGCCCTTCTCTAACCATTTTTATGTGCATAACTCAGTGGCATTAGTAATATTCATGTTCCCCATTAAATATTTCCAAACTTTTCCATCACTCCAAACAGAAACTCTGTAACCACTGAGAAATAATTCCCTATTTATCATCCTTTCAGTCCCTGCTTACTCCTAATTCATTGTCTATAAGTTTGTCAATTCTAGTAATTTCATATGAATTGGTCTGGCTTATGTCACTTAGCATATGGTTTTTGAGGTTTATGTATTTGTATTATATACTCATTCCTTCTCATGGTAAATAAAATCTCTTTTCATGGTAAGTAATGTACATTTTGTTTATGTACTAATAAGTTGGTGGACACTGGGCTTCTCTTCCCACTTTTTGGTTATTATATCTAATAATACAATGAAAATTATTGTACTCATATTTGAGTCCTTATTTTTAGTTATTTTGTTTAAATAGGTGGCAGTGAAATTGTGGGACATATAATTCATGTTTAGGTCAAATAATTGTATTGTTTTTAGTGGAAGTGAGGTTTTGAACCCCAGGCCTCATGCTTTCTAGGTTGGTATTCTACCTCTTGAGCCACACACCTCAGACCATTTTGCTTTAGATGTGTTTTCCCAGGGGCTGCTTCAGATCACAATCCTCTGTCTATACCTATCTAATCCTTCAATCTGTTGTGTGAAACCACCATACCCATCCTTGTGCTTCTGCAAGTCTTGCTCACTTTAATCTCTGCCTGAGTAGCTAGGATTACAGGCATAAACCTTTACACCTAGTACTGCTTTGTAATTATAAGGAACATCATTTACCGATTGCTGTAGAGAAATAATCTCAAAGCTTTGTAGTTTAAAACAATTACTTTTGACCTTGTATTCTATGTGAGTCAGGAACCCAGCTATTTCCCAGTGCATCTCGTGAGATTGGAGTCAAAGTATCTTCAGGGAAATGCTTTCCTGGTATACCACTCACATATCTGGCATTCAGGAGCATTTCTTCATGATGACTGGTTTCTCCCCAGACAAGTGATTCAGGAGAGTAAGGAAAAAACTGCAGTGGTCTTGGTTATGCACCATCACTTTAGCCACATTGTATTTGTTAGATGTGAAAGCACTTTAGACACATTGTGTTTGTTAGATGTGAGAGCTTTTGAAGGGCTTTTTAGAATTACTAAACAGAGGCTGGGAATGTGGCTTAGTAGAGTGCTTGTCTAGTATGCATGAAACCCTGGGTTCAATTCCTCAGTACCACATAAACAGAAAAAGCCAGAAGTAGTGCTGCGGCTTAAGTGGTAAGGTGCTAGTCTTAAGCAAAAAAGAGGCTCAGGAACAGTGCCCAGGCCCTGAGTTCAAGCCCAGGACTGGCAAAAAAAAAAAAAAAAAAAAGAATTAGTAAACACATTTTACATCCCCACACTATTTTTGAATTTTTAAGTTCTCTCTGTGTGTGAATATGTGTGTGTGTGTGTGTGTGTGCACACGCACATACATGTTCACCTGGGTGCTGTCCCTGAGCTTTTTTGCTCTGGACTAGCTTTATTGGAGATAAAATCCCACTGACTTTCCTGTTAGGGGTGGCTTCAAACCATGCTCCTTAGACCTCAGCCTCCCATATAGCTAGGGTTGTAGACGTGCATCACTGGCACCTGGCTGTATTTCTTTTTTATACCTAGATAATATACTTGATCCCCCCCCGCCCCCCCCCCCGCCCAGTTCTTCTGTCAGGTTTTATGGTTACTTCTTGCTTAAATTAATTACATATTGCTGCATAATAAACCATGCAACTCTTACCTTCTAGTCTCATGCACTTTGGGATACAGGTTATGATGCAGATATGGAAAAAACTCTAGAAGAATACCATGACCAACCAGTCCAGAAGATGACCCTGAAATGGCATCAAGAATCCCAATCACGGGGCTGGGAAGGTGGCTCAGTGGTAGAGTGCTTGCCTTGCATGCATGAGGCCCTGAGTTCGATTCCCCAGCACCACATAAGCAAAAAGAAAAAAAGCTGGAAGTGGCACTGTAGCTCAAGTGGTAGAGCACTAGCCTTGAGCTGAAGAGCTGAGGGACAGCGCCCAGGCTCAGAGTTCAGGTCCCACGACCGGACCCCCCCCCCAAAAAAAGAATCCCAATCACAAAGAACCTATTAAGGGGATAGGCCCCCAATTTCCTAAGCTATATGCGTTTTGCCAAGAAGCACAAGAAGAAAGGCTTGAAGATGCAGACAAACAATGCCAAGGCTTTGAGTGCATATGCTAAGCCTTGATTATCAAGACTACTGTAAAACTCAGGTTAATAAATACAAGATTCCAATGGGTACCAGCCACAAGCTCCAACAACTTGCTTATGTCCTACAACCAAGCTTGAGAAGTGTGTTCATGACTACATTGCCAAGTCACAGGTGTTGTTGGCAAAATGCCAAGGCTCAAACCAAGACACAGGTTCAGGCTCCAGTTCATGCTCTCAAAGGTGTCTGTGCCTTTGTCTGCCAATGGAAGAAAACACAATGATGTGACCTCCTAGCTACTGGGGGGGAGGGTGGGGGGGGGCGGGGGTGGTGGAGAAGGCTGGTGTCCTGTGTTGTTTCTGCAAATTAACTCAGGCAAGATCTGTCATGAAGACTGGAATCATCTGGAGTTTCTTCAGTTCTCTACTTTCCCTGAATCTGTGGTCAGCTGTGTGTTGACTTGGTGACTTTATTTTTATGGGGCTGCAGGCAGTTGCTCGCTTCTATTAGTCGTATCCCTCCTAGGTCCGTTTCTCCCTTATCTTCAGCAGAGTAGCTAGGCTTAAAGTCTTGAAGAGGGCATTTCAAAAGACAAAGTATGTATTATTAGCATGCCCTCCATCTCAGGTCTCAGCCCTTCCCCCAAAACCAGTTGATCTGGCCAGGCTTAACTGCAAGTGGCCTTCAGCCCTGGCTGTTCCCCCCACTCTATTTCCTGAAGTCACATGTTATCCCTAGCCTCCAGCTGCATCTGTGAAGTACCGCCTAACTGTAACTGTGGCAATCAGAAAACCCCACCCTGGCTATGTGCTACTTCCCACCCCCAATAAAATTTTCCTGCCCCAGTCCCCTAGCTATAAAAAATGCCCCTAAACAAAGGACAGGCACCATTTCTCCCTCTCCTGTGAGGGAATTGGCCCTGTCAGCCCTTGCTGACAATATACTCCTTTTGCTGTATGTGACTATGTCTGTGTGGCCTTCTGGGATGGTGGCTTTCAGGCATAGTTTGGAACTATGATTCTGTTAGAATCAACTCAGATTGAACAAGATATGAGCTAGGCTTGGGGCATGCCTGCAACCCCAGTATACTGGAATGTGGTGACTTTGAGCCT